CAACATCATTAATATTAAATGCAAGTAAAATTTTGCTAAAGATAATTCAAAAATGACTGAAACAGTATATTGACAGGGAACTGCCAGAGGCTCAAGCTGGATTTAGATGAGATTGTGGAATGAGGGCTATCACTGCTGATGTCAGATGGATCTTGGCTAAAAACAGAGAATACCAGAAAAATGTTTACCTGTGCTTTATTGACTGACTATGCTTTCAACTTTATTGATTTTTGACTGTGTGGCTATGGATAACATTGTGAAGAAATGGGTATTCTGGAACACTTAGTTGTGCTCATGAAGAACCTGCATAAAGAGCAAGGGGCAATCATTTGAATAGAAAACGGGGACACTGAGTGTTTAAAATCAGGAATGGTATGCACCAGAGTTGTATTCATTCACCATACTTATTAAATGTATATATGGAACAAATAATCTGAGAATCTGGATTATATAAAGGAGAATGTAACATCAGGATTAGAGGAAAGCTCATTAACAACTTTCAATATGCAGATGATAAAACGCTGCATGATGAAAGTGAAGAGGACATACAATACTTACTGATTGATGAAGATCAAAGAACACAGTCTTCAGTATGGTTTGCATCTCAATGTAAAGAAAACAAAAGTCCTCACAACCAATAAATAACATCATGATAAATGGAGAACAGAGTGAAGTTGTCAAAGACTTAATTTTGCTTGGATCCACCATAAACAGTCATGGATCAGCAGTCAAGAAATCAAATAATGTGTCACACTAGGCAAATCCGCTGTACAAGACCTGTTTAAAACATTTGAGTAACAATGTCAGTTTGAGGACAAAGTTGCATCTGACCCAAGCCCTGGTATTTTTAGTAGCCTCATATGCATCTGAAAGTTGGATCAATTAATAAGGAAGACTGTAGAAGAATTGATACATTTGAGTTGTGGTGTTGTAGAAGAATATTAAAAGTATAATGGACTGCCAGAAGAGCTAACAAATCTGTGTTGGAAGAAGTACAGCCAGAATGCTACTCAGAAATCAGGATGGCAAGACTTTGTCTCTCATATTTTGAATATGTTAATTAGGAGGAATATTTTATATACGGTAAAGTGGAGAGTCAGCGGTAAAGAGGAAAACCTAACTGAAATTTATTAGCACCATGACAGCAGCAATGTGCTCAAGAGTAATGACTGGAAGTTGGTGCAGGAGAAGGCAGTGTTTTGTACTGTTGTGCATAGGGTCACTAAGAGTTGGAACCAGCTAGATGGCACATAACAACAATAGCATATATATATATATATATATGTGTGTGTGTGTGTGTGTGTGTGTGTGTATGTGTATATGTGTATGTATACACTCTGGTAGCGTAGTGGTTATGAATCGGGTTGTGAACCGCAAGGTCAGCAGTTCGAAACTACCAGCTGTTCTGTGGGAGAAGGATGAGGCTTTCTGCTCCTGTAAAGATTTACAGCCTCGGAAACCCTGTACAGGGTCGCTATGAGTCGGAACTGACTCCACGGCACACAACAACAACAACAAATATATATATAATGCTGGCATAACATATGCTATAAATATAAACTGGTATAATTCTATCTTAATATTATGCCAGTTTATATGTACATATATAGTCTTTAAACTGGCATAATTCTGTAATATGTATAGTCATATACATACAATGCATGAAATGTGCATGTACTTATTAATAAATGAAAATGACTTGGGAAACCTTATTAATTTGTGTTAGTAAGCTGTGCTTTCATTCTCACCAGATCAAACTCTTAGCCCAGCATGTTGTTTGTTGAATCCTTGGAATAAGCAGATGACGGAGATGTTGTTTGTAAGTGTTCTTGAGTTGGTTCTAACTCATAGAAACCCTGTATAAGGTTTCCAAGGAGTGGCTAGTGGGTTTGAACTGCTGTCCTGTGGTTAGCAGTCAAGTTTGTATCTTACAGCACCACACTAAGACTCTGGATGAAGAAGACAGGAAGACTGTCACATCTCACTGAGAAACAACATTCATTCCAGCAGAATCTTTGACTGCTAAGGAAAGAAACCCTGGCTGTGAAGGTAGACCTAGCGGTGCCATAAACTAAGTGAATGGCAGTAAGAGCACAAAGCTATCACCTACCCCTGAAACCCCAGTTTACAGCTCACTCTTTTTACCACTTTACTGTGTATGTGGAGAAATACTTTGAAAATATTCATTCATTTTGGCTGTCAAGTTTTGAAATTATAGAATAACATGCATTTATAGTTCCTCTTTACCTAATTTACTACTCACCTTGGGAATATATGGAATAGAAATTGAACTAATGTGAGTAATCCAGTTGTTTTTAAGTGTTGTTGTAAGTGCTGTTATCGAGTTGGTTATGACTCATAGAAACCTTGTATAGGGTTTCTGAGGAGTGACTGGTGGGTTTGAGTCACCGACCCTGTGGTTAGCAATCCATTACTTATTCTGCAGTGCTACACTCAAAGAGGATTGGACCACAAGGTTGGTTTGAAACAAAAGATCTGTGGTTCAAATTCATCAGCTGCTCCTTGGAAACCCTATACAGGGTTGCTATAAGTTGGAATGACTTGATGGCACTTAAAAACATTATCATAATAACCAGAATAGATCAACTCTTGTATTTCACTCCATTCCTTTCTGTAACTAGAATCAGGAAAAAAAATATTATACTCTAATAATATAGCTTGTGAAGAGAGAAGAGCGAAATCATTTTTTATTTTCTAGAAATGTTCATAGGTCTAGCTTCGTGATTACTTTAGCAGCACTGGGCAGACTTGGGCTTCATTCCTTCTTCACCAGTGATTAAGTGTGTGGCTCAGCCAAGTGTTTCAACTTGAGCTTCAATTGTCTCATATATAAAGTGGCAGTATTAGTCCTCACAGGTACTTAAGTACTTAACATAGTATTTGGCATATAAATGTGTTTAAAAATTTCTAGCTATTAACATTTGACTCAGATGTTAGCCCATTATACTTATGCTCTTCTAAACTAGTAATTAAGGAACTCTAGTAGCATAGTGGTTACAAATCAGGCTGTTAACCTCAAGGTCAGCAGTTCGAAACTACCAGGTGTTCCATGGGAGAAAAATGAGGCTTTCTGTTCCCGTAAAGCCTTACTGCCACAGAAACTTTACAGGGTCACTATGAGTTGGAACTGACTCTGTAGCACACAATCACCACAAAACTAGTAATTAATTTTTGTTCTTGTGCTTAAGAAAACTCAATGAGCATATTTATTTCTTCTTGAACTCTAATACATCCTGTGTTGACCCTAGACATTATTATTAGCTCACTGACATCTTTAAATAAAAGAGAATTTGATATTCAGTTCATTATTTATCTAAAGTCAAGCAATCAGCAGCCTACACAGCTGAATGGAAATCCCAGAAAAGGCCATCTCAGCAAATGTGTTCACAAAGAAGCACCTACATATTAAGATTGCTCTCAAGTAGCAGTTTGTTTCCATGGTACCTAAGTAGAAAAAAGACAGAATCTGCCATTAGTCCCCAAAGCAGAAAAATGTCAAGCAGTTAAGAATTCCAGATTTTGGTAAGGAAACATTTCATAATCAGGGGTTTAAAAAGTAGGTTTCAGATACCACCACCACCTAAAGTTCATTCTTAGATTCTAATTCAATTTTATATTAACATTCAGTGTAGGATGTTTAATATTTGTTTGACTTACATGACAAATCACTAAAATCTGAGAGGTCATTTATGCTTAGTTTTGAAATGAAAATTACGATATAATAGAACCTTTCCATTACATGCATAAGTTTACAAAAAACATTCCTTGGTAAAGAAGAACTTAGGAAGAGTCCTACAGAATTTCTTTAGAATCACAACTTTGATCATTATTTTAACTCCATCATTTGTGTTAAAAATATCTTTTGAACAACTTCTAAGATAGGACAGTTCTTGTCTTTAGAAACTTACGTAGCAAGAATGGGAGACTGAAGATCAATTGTTATATCACAGGTGGAAATGTTTCATTAAAGGGTAGAAACAAGATGCTGGGGAAAGTCCCAGGACCCCCCAAAAATGACACTGATTCCTTAGAAGAAGGAAAAATGATTTTAATCAAGAAAATGTCTGGCCCTTTGGATTCAAACACATTTAACACTTTGTATATAGTACATTGAAGATATGCCCTATTGTTTAAAACATCTTTTGTCCAAATGATTCAGAAACTCAATCAGGAATATACATAGAACTGATACAATATACATAGAATTGATAATAGTAACATGACATAAATACTCAGTACTCTATCTGGTACATTATTAATAAAACTCTAAAAGGCACACTTAGTTTGTACAAGTTAACATGGGCTAAATGAAGTGTTCTCAATTTTAAATATCCATTCCTGCTAATCAGAGTAAACACTGTTTTAACACTGTACCTTAGTGTCCTCTTCTTTGAAAGATGGATAGTAAAAGCTAAAAATGAGCTACATATAGGCACTGATGCATGAAAAATACATTTCGTATTTCTATATATTGTAAACTGGAAGTGCTTTTTGAATAACACGAATATATATGCTAGAAAGTTTGACAAACTGAACAGTCTGTAAAGAATGGAACACCTCTTGCCTATAAATTCAAATAAATATAATTCAATATTTGCAGCAATACTTATTTACTTTTTAAACTAATTAAATTGAAATTCTTTGGTAGTCAGTTACCAAAATAGTTTTGAAGCTTGGGAAATGCTTTCCCACTCTTTTCTTGTGGGTGGCCTGATTCCCCATGATATTCACAGTTGAGAGGAAGTTTTAAAAAGCATTATCATCTTACCTTGTAGTAATCAATTAAGAGCAAATTAAATATGCTCTGAAAAGTAAAAAAAAAAAAAAAATTAAAGATCACTCCTGAATGATTTCAGACTGCAAGTATGTGAGACAGATTTTTTTTTTGTATCCTGAATGCCATTTTTGCGTGTGGTCACCTCCGTAACATACTAAAATGAAGTCAATCATTAAATCTGAATAGCCCAATTTATTGACAGAATATATGAGAATGTCAGGTGGCTAGTGCTTCTAAATGTCAGTTAATAATAATACTAATTTGTTTTCATTACAATAAACACAGTATAGAAACCTTTCCATTATATGCATAAGTTTACAAAAAGCATTCCAAAGATATCGTGTCCAAACTATTGTCAAAAGATTCCAAAGCCTGTATATTTTGTTCCAAATGCAATCAGGACAACTACAAGAAAAGCTGTAAAAAGCAAGACAAAAAAAAATCTTAGTCTTTCCCTAATAATTTCAACTCCATTCCTTGGTAGAACAGGTAATGAAAGTTATATTGCAGGTTGTGCTTGTTTTTAAACAGATGTCATCAGAGACCATATGTTACAAGCAGGTTCAGATTTTTTCATTATCATCATTGTTGATTTTTTTAAATGCGACTGGGCTTGCTTGTTTCAAAGAAGTCTTAGAAACATCCGTGTGCATGGTAGACATAGCTATCGTCTCATAGTCATCATCCCGAGACCGGAAATCACAAAAGTTAAAGAAGAACTGCAAGTCCCTCTGGAAATTTTTGTTCAGAAATCCATAAAATATGGGGTTGACACAGGTGGATATCATTGCCGTGAGGTGACAGAGAAGAAATAACAGATTATGGTTGCATGTAGCAATGATCTGATGATTCCAATCAAACACAGTGTTAAAGATGGTGAGAGGCAGCCAGCAGACTGCAAATGCTACCACAATGGAGAGTAACATGATGTTAATTCTTTTGGTTTCACTGGACCTGTACTTATTATCTCTCATCTTGTCCATCATGTTGTTTCTCCTTTTTAAGCGTATGTATATCTATAGAAAGAGTGGGGAGAAAAAAAAAAGCAAGTTCAAATACAATCACTCGTTTAAGAGGAATTTTGTGAAGAGAAGGTTTAAAAAAAATGGTAGGGGGGAACTGTTTTCTTACCTTGAAGTAGCAAATAAATATAAAACAGAGTGGGCCAAAATACTGCAGCACCAACAAGAGAGTAGTATAAGATAACCTATGAGAGTCTGATGGAAATTTATCGAAGCACACGTACTTGTCCTTGAATGCATCGAGTGTTATATTTTGGAATGGTTCATCAGTCAAAACTTGATAGATCAGAAAGGGCAGAGAAGATGCCACAGCAATGACCCAAATGACAGCAATTCCAACATAAGCATGTCTATTATTCGGTCGCCACCCCCGTGGGTTGATTATCAGCTGATGTCGTTCCACAGCAATGAGAACCAATGAGAAAATGGACACAGTGATTGAAACACATTGCACAAAAGGATTCAACTTGCACATTGCTTCACCAAAGACCCAATGATCCATTAAAGTGTAGACAAAAGTAAAGGGGAGACACATGATTGCAACAAGCAAGTCTGAGAAGGAAAGGTTCACAATCAAGATGTTGGTAACATTTCTCATCTCCTTTTGCTTCAAGATGATTATGATCAAAGCCAGGTTTCCAGAGACCCCAAGGATGATCACAGCTCCATAAGCAAGAGCTAATGTAAATATCATAGCCAAGGGCAGATGGCAATCATCATTTTCAAAAGCCAAAAACTGGGAATTCTTCTCTGAAAAATTATGATGCACTGAATGATTTACCACCTGAGAAAATGCTGTTGAATTCATTTTGATTGGTTTGGTTGTTACAGTTTACTTTAGACAAATGGACACTATGTTTCTTCAAAGCAGGTCAAATGTTCAGCTTATTCTTACTGCCCATACTGGAATCCATTTACCAAAATTATTCTGAACTCTTCATCCCCTTGAATTGAACAATCTGTAAAGAGAAAATGACCACTGCATTACTAATTTTCTTGAGGCCAGTCAAAATTAATTCTAACTCAGTACTCTTTAAAGTGAAAACACTGAAATAACGAAAATGCAATCTGTAGAAACATTTTTTTTTAATGGCAGAAACAGTGCTAACATTTAGAAAAAAAGGGAAAAAATGTAATGACATTTTAAATTAGACTTGTTGATTGATTGAGTTTCAGCAACGCCTAGTGTCTATAATTTAGTAAGGCCTGAAAACCAAATGCCTGAAGCCTTGTGCCAGTAGTGATACCAGTATATTTCTAAACATTGTAAGAACATGAATGTGTAACAAACAATTTCATGCTCTGATTAAAATATAAGAAAACACATGAAATGTAGCAGGGTACAAACAAGGCAGAACAAAATAAACTACTTAAGTCTTGATCTGATTGTAGAAATGAAAGAATTAGTGTAGAGAGCAAGTGTGCTAATAGCTCCACCATTTATGGGACTATTCTTTAAAGTGTTCTTGGTCAGCACAAGTATTTTCAAAAAGATCAATGCAGTGAAATATAAAAAAAAACTTTGTCAAATGTGGAATTGTGGAAGGAGCAGGAAATGTTTAATCTTAATTAGACAGTAGGAATGGTGTAATTTTTTTATGTCTGAATGAGTGGTATGTGGAATAGGAAACTGGCATTACAATATTCTGTGTGTTGTTGTTGTTCAATGCTGTTGAGTCATAGTTTCAACTCTTAGCCACCCTTGATAGGGTTTCCAAGGAGTGGCTGGTGAGTTTGAACTGTCGACCTTGCAGTTCAAACCAACCTGGTGATCCAGTGCTTATTCTACAGTGCCACACCAGGACTCCAAATATTCTGTGTAAGTAGCTGCGTAACATATAAGTAGGAACAAGAGATAGACATTAAAAGCACACCTTTCATGTTAATATAAGGAAAAAGGGTTAATAAAATAAAATAAAATGTATGGTGCTGTAGGATAAGTGCAGGATTGCAAGGCCGGTTTGAATCACAAAGCTGGCAGTTCAAACTCACCAGTCGCTCCTCAGAAACCCTATGTTGGGGTCGTTATGAGTTGGAACTGGCTCAATGGCACTTAACAATAACAACAACAAAACTAGCAAATGCTCCATATGGAAAGTTTATAAGCACCACATCAGAGAATTCTTGCATTCTGTTGGAGACTCCATCGAGTGACTCCAAAACTCTTCTTAAGGATTTCTACAATTTATTCATTTAAGTAACCTCTCCCACCAGACTGCAGGGATCTAAATCCAGGGTAGTGATCTTAAGTTCATAATATGAATACTCTTACTAACAAGACAAGTCACAGACATTGGTCTTGTAGAGATTAAATTTCCTTTTTTAAAAATCTAATTTTCTCTAAATTCCCAAGTAAATATAAGATGTGATTTCTTATGTTAATTAACCATTGTGCTTTTGTTAAGAAACTGAATCTCATTTCTGTCTTCTTAAGTGAGAACAATAAAGAAAATCATGCAGATCTACCTCCATTGAAAGGGAAATAAGAAATTCAATTAACAAAAAGTACATTTGCCTTTTAAGTGCCACCTCTAATGAGTCTTTCTTTTAGTGTTTTTGCTTTCTGGAATATAAGTTGCTTTTCATTATGAAACCACAATTTAACCTTATAAAATTTAAGAAGAAGAAAAAAGTTGCTCTCATTCAGTGAGAATGAAAGTATTAAGAGTAATGAAACATGATTTTCCTCTCCTGTATGTAATAACCTATGACTTCTAATATTCATGTGGTACTCACAGTTTTTCTCTCTACACTAAAGGCAGAGTGTCTTTTAGGGTTTGGGAATAAACCTTGAAGAAGCACATAATAATCTAAAAGATCCTTCAGAGTCTCTCACTTTCTTATGAATGAAAGAAATGTTAGCATTATACTTCATATTGAAGTTACTTGCCAGATAATTGTGAGTTTCTCTCTTATCATTTAAAGTAAATCTACACAGTAGGAAAATGGATCTTTTTTTACCTAGGGTTTTTCATGGCTATCACCAAGTAGCCCAGGTGAATGAGTACTTTAGTATGACACACATAAGATAGAGACTGTTGTGTACATTCTTCAACCTGACTTTTACATCCTGGCTCCCTTCTGCTTTTCACCCTTGCTCTACTTATCACAATGTGATGACTCTGTTCCAGACAGACCAGTGCACTGCCTGGTTGGTCTTAGCTTCTGCATATCCCCACTGCCAGTTCATTGGCTGGGTGTTCTCTCTGTCTTATCACCAATCCAAATTCTACATATATTTCAAAGCTCCATTTAGACCCTCAAATCCTCAATTGGTTTTTCTCAATCATACAAGGAGCCTCTGGGTGACGCACTTCATTGAGTGTTAGACTACTAGCCAAAATGTTGACAGTCAAACTCACCTAGAGGTTTTTCTGAGAACAGGCCTGGAGATTTGCTTCAAAAATGGCCCAGCCTTAAAAAAACACTATGTAACAGTTTTACCTGGGATCATCAAGAGTCAACTTGCCGGAAACTAACAGTAGCAACAATAATATAATGTCTTTAAGGTGCCCTGGTGGAGCTGTGGGTTAGGCATTGGGGTTTATATCTACCATCCAATCTGCAGGAGCAAGATGAGGCTGTCTGTTCCTGTAAAGATTTAGTCTTGGAAATTCTGTTCACTCTGAGTCATAATCAACTCAATGTCAGTGAGATTGGTTTTGATTTTATGATAGCAAATATGTATTCTTCATACCAAAACCCCCATAGCTACCCTACAGGAAAGAACTGTTGTTGGTAAGTGCTGTCAAGTCAGCTCCAACTCCGAGGGATCGTGTATAGGGTTTCTGAGGAGTGGCTGGTGGGTTTGAACCACTGGTCCTACACCACCACAGCAGGACTCCGTAGGAAAGAATAGGACTGCCCTATAAGGTTTTCAAAGGTGAAATCTTTACAGCAGCAGACTGCTTCATCTTTCTCCCATGGAGCAGCTGATTCATTCAAACCATCAACTTTTCAGCTACAGCTGAACACTTACGATTTGAGTCACCAGAGCTCCTTGTATATTTCATGTTGTTGTTATTGTTGGGTACCATCAAGTCAGTTCCAACTCATCGTTGTTATTAAGAGCCGTCTACTCAGTTCTGACTCATAGCAACCCTGTATAGCATTTCCAAGGAGCAGCTGGTGGGTTTGAACTGCCGATCTTTTAGTTCACAGTCCAGTACTGATCTTGCAGTGCCCCATAGCAACGCTGTATAGGGTTTCCAAGGATGATAAATCTTAATGGGAGCAGAAAGCCTCATCTTTCTCCCAAGGAGTATCATGGGTTTGAACAAGCGACCTGTGGTTAGCAATCCAGTGCTTATCCTAGACTGCCACCAGTGCTCCTGTATGCTTCATAAAACCAAAACCTACTGTTGATTTAGACTCATAGTGACTTCCTATAAGGTTTCTGTGGCTCTAAATCTTTAGTAGAACAGAAAGCTGTATGGTTAGCAGTCCAGTGATTATCCTATAGTGCCACCAGGACTCCTTCATGTTGTTAAGTGCTCTTGAGTCAGTTCCGACTCATAGAGACCCTGGAGAGGGTGATGAGTTTGAACCACTGATCTTTTGGTTAGCGCTGCTTATCTTACAGCACCACACCCAGGACCCTTTCACTTGTTTGTTGTTGTTAAGTGTTGTTGACCCCTTCATAGGGTCTTGAAAATATCAGATTCAAGAATAAAAGGATGTTCTTGTGTCAGTTAAACACTAATATGTCTAGCTCAAGTCTGCCCTAGCTCTTTGACACTGTAAAGAGCTAAAATTCTAAGACACTTGGTGGATGCAGTTAAGAGCTAATTTGTTAACCCAAAGATCCAGAGGTTGGAACCCACCAGCTAGTCCACAGGAGAAAGATGAGGTAGTACGTTTCCAGAGATTTACTGCCTCAGAAACCCTACGAAACAGTTCTACTCTGTTGACATAGACTCGGCTCAGCAAAAGTGGTAGGTGGTGGTGGCAGTGGTTTATATGGGAGTGCTAACTCTATTCTGGAGTCCTGGTCTGGTGTTGTGGGTTAATGTGCTAGACTGCAAGGTCCGCTTGAACCTCAAGGTAGGTCGTTCAAGCTCAAAAGCCACTCCTCATAAACCTTACACAGGGTTGCAATGAATCGGAACTGACTCCATGACACTTAACAACAGCAACAACAATTCCATTTTGAGTTCAATGGCTCTTTTCTTTCAGAACCACCAGCTGCTTCTCAGGAGAAAAGACATGGTGATCTGCTCCCATAAAGATTAGAGCCGAGGAAACCTTATGGAGCGGGTCTATTTTATCCTACAGGGTCACTCTGAGTATGAATCAACTCAAGGGTACACAACAACTAAGCTAAAGTTTAGTGGTTTGAATCCACCCAGCAGCACCACAAAGGAGAGGCTTGGGGATGTGATTCCATAAATATCACAGCTAAGTAACCCTATGGACCAGAGTTCTACTCTAGAACACACAGGGTCACCATGAGTGGGAATCAACTCCAAGATAACAGAAAAAATGTTTGTGGGGCGAACAAAGACTTGAAATTCATTCAAGCAACATTTACTGAACACTTATGTGTGTGTCATGCATGATTTTTAACAATGGCAGCCATGACTGTTTTCACTGAGTTTCTAGTCTTGTGGGAGGAGAAAAACAATAAAAAATACATTAGTAAAAGATATGTATGCTAGATGATAACAACGCAATAGATGAAAATAAAGCAGGAAGAAGGATTAAGGTTACTAAGGGTTGAAATTTACTGTTAGATTGTTAAAGAAAGCCTCTGACTGACTGAAAAGAAGTTAAAACCTGAGAGCAGTGAGTGAGGAAGCCATGCAGCTATCTCTGGAAGAGCATTACATAAAGAAAGAACAAGAATAAACTTGCTAACGCTGGAGCACACTTGGTGTGCTAAACAACAATGAAAAGTGGAATAAATACAGGAGGGATTTGAAGAAATGATTTTAGAACGGTAAAGTGAAACTGATTATGTA